CTTCTTCTTTCATCTTCTTCTTCTTTTTCTTTTTCTTCTTCTTCCCTAAATTGTTATCAGCATCCAAATGAAACAGCAAGTCTTTAGTACCAGAAAAACCTACGAAGCGCTTCAGTGTTCTTTTCTTTTTCGGAGATGAAAGGAGAGTGTCTGAGCACAGGCTTATGGAATCAAGGATCCTACCATGCCACTATGGCCACGCCCCCTGGGATGTGTTACGCCCCCCAGCAGACAACAGCACAACAGCCCACATACTAGAGCAGTGGTTCCCAACCAGGTGTACTAGGACCCCTGGGGGTATTTGGCTTTATCAATACTTGAGAAGACTCATGAGATAATAGGACTACTGGTAAAATACACACGAGGGAGTACTTCAAGGGTGTTCCGGGCAGATCTAAACTCAGTTACCAAAAAAGGTTGGGAACCACTGGACTACAGGATAGCATCATCAGTGTGTTGGGGTGTCACAATATTGTGGCTCCCTCCCATCCTCCTACAGAGCAGCTGGATGGAGTATTCCTTAGTATAGAGCCCATTCCCCAAAGGATAATGGCTGATTGAAAGGTGGTGCTGAAAACCCAGACAGTGGCAGAGACCCGGGGGACGAGGCACTCTATCCAGCTAGCCTCTCTCTGGAAGGGTCCTCAGGGCTTGTGACCTCAGTGCAGACTGCAGCCCTAGGGTGTTCTGGGGGTCCCGGGGTGTCAGGGGCCTGGTTCTTTGGCTGTGGGCATTGCAGCCAGGTGGCCTCAAAACGATCTAGAGAATGTAAACACAAAGTCAGGTGACTGGTATCCTATGAGTATCTTACTATAGCCTAAATGAAACAGTAAATACATGTAATGGATCCCCAATGAATGACAGAGGAATGCACCACTTAATTCAATCATTCTGTGGAAATAAGCTTTCTAAATTAACGCTTTCATTATATGCAGAGTTGAGTGTAAGATTAGAACAGAGTGAAATCCTATGATTCAACACTAGATGGCAGAAGAGCATAAGAAAAGCAGGACTGAACTGTACAGAGTACTGAGGTCTGTGCAGGTTATGTAATTATACTACCTCTCTATTACATTACACTCAGTTTATCCTCAGTAAAACACATTTAACAAAATATTAACAGTAATAATCTGAATTGAATTGAATTGAATATTATGATTAAGGGCATGGCAGCCTACATGTAGCCTCTCTCTCACTGAATTGGACATAAACACAGCAGAACAGTCCATTTCACAGATAGCTTGAAACACAAGATGGTTTACTGTTCATGAGGCTCTATTCATTCCTTTAGCAGCACCAATATCTGTATATGAGAATGCTATACTGCGAGAGACAGACAGACTGGGGCTGTGGTCACATGAGGTGGTTATTCATCTTGGCATGGTTGGCTGCACCACCTTGCACTACAGATGCAGCATGGGTCTCTGTCTCAGGCAGCACACTGCCATTGCTGACAACTGAACCTGACAGATATACTGTATGTTGTCGATGGATAATGGATCAGTCACACACTGGTTTCAAATTCATCTTCTCCAGAAGGAAATCAACCATGCTTAAATATATTATTAAGGAGACATTGTGTTAGCTTCAGGAACGTCTTTACTGAGATAACAACCGTATATGATTACAGAGCATTATGGGTACTGTAGATTTACATCATGCTACATTAAACACATCATAATCCAGTGGGAGTATGTGTTCAAGGAGATGTGACTGTATGTTGTGCTAATGAAGGCTTGTTAATCAGATATACTAGGGGAAGTTACGATAAAGCCTGTTCAGGTGTTCTCCTTGAGCTTGTCTAATAGGACCCTATGGGACAGCCATTCAAAACCAAAGTTCCAGTTCTCAACACAGGGTTTTTTTGCATTGCGTGTGCTTTGGGGGTCTGTCATGCTGGTGCCATCTGGGCTATGCCTCATCTCTGCCGGAGAAGAAGAGCAGAGAGAGTCGAGAAAGAGGAGGAGCAGAGAGATAGAGTCGGGGAGAGCGATAGAGGAGAGAGTCTCCAAGAGACGGGAGCTCTCGGCTGTCGCTAGAGAGGTCATGTCTGTTCGGCTCTCTCTCTCTTCGAGTGCTCTCGTCTACTCTATCTCTCTCTCTCTCTCTTCTCTCTCCTCTCTCTCTCTCTCTCTCTCTCTCTCAGTAGATGTCAGGTAATCCACACAGTCCAATAACAGTAATGCTATGTTAAGCGTTAGAGGTCTGTTCAGGTGTCACATTACAGGAAATTTAGATATCACATAGAAACGTCTTGTGTGGAACAGACATCATTATCTGACAGGTAGAACAGGGAATTATATTAGCTGTATTCATTACATTTCTATCCCAGGGAATACAACCAAGTCTCCCTGTGACCCTAAAAGACTGTGACCTCAATGGGCACCATGGGAGAGCAGGGCTCCGATGTCACAACTTTACAACACAATTAAAAACCAATCAGGAATGCTCTCTTGTGTCACAAAGGCAATGATGCTATAATATAAACAAACGTTGTTGTTGTTCTGTATGCTCCTCCAACGCTGCTTGCCTTGGTTTCACAGCTTTATCCTTGGGCCTAGTTAATTACTCTGGAGAGGTTATATAACAATGCTGGTTTGCCATTTTCTATGTAGCAAAGCAATCATACATTACTACTGCGTGATATAAAGTCTATTATGCACCATGGAGGAAGGAGGTAAAGAGACGAGGAGGAGGTAGAGAGAAGAGTTGGTAGAGAGAGGAGGAGGTAGAGGAAGAGGAGGTAGAGAGAGGAGGAAGAGAAGGAGGATTAGAGACAAGTGGTAGAGAAAGGAAGAGGAGTTAGAGAGAGGACGGAAGGTAAAGAATGGTTACTTTAGCAAACAACGGTAAACTAGAGCCATCTGTACTTGTAGCGGATGAACAGTGAGGAGTTGAGAAGTATACAGTGTATGTTGTCGGGTGGGGAATGGAGAAGAAGGGGTCCCGGGGGAGGTGGATGGATACACAATCTTCTGGCACACATTACCACGTCACTCAATCTCATATCCATCCACGGATACTGTTACCGCCCAAATAGCCTTTCCGTAATTAGAGAGCGTGCTCTGTTCTCTGTGAATATGATGAGTCCAGTTCATAACCGGACAACCCCCTTCATCTATCTCACTGATGCATTATTAAAAACAGGGGGCTAGCCAGAAGGTAACAATACCCTAACTATACATGTTTGAGGGTAGAGTGTTTTGTTTAAAGGAAAAATCCACTAAAAAAAACAATATTTTGATATTTTCTTTATTAGTCCACTGATGAAAAATGCATCATCATGATGATGTGGCAAGTGACACTTTGCTTCTTGAAAGTCCAATAGCTTGTACTGCACTTGACTGCTGACATGCAAAACATTTTGGGACTGTATCAACAGTGGACTAATGAAAAAAATACCAAAATATATAGTTTTTGATTGGAGTTTTTCTTTATGTGATATAAAGGGACTGCAGTTGAACCACAAGATAAGTCTGCTGTTCAGTTACAAACTACTATGATCAAATATGTTGTTTTCTCTCTATAAACTGGTAGGAGAGGTAGAAGATAACACTGCCAAAATGAATGATACAATGTCATAGACAAGTGTAGGTAGAATTTGCCCTAGATTACGTGCTATCTCATTGAGTCTTTCAATGCGCCTTATATTAACCCTCTGAGGTAAGATCAACACTCTTATGTCACGTACATTGGACGTTGAAGGCCTTTCTGAGACTCTTCTATAGCCCTGGTTGCCCATAGAAACGTGACCTGGGGCTGGCCCTTGAGAATCGCAGTGTCAATGCCAGTGTATGGACGTCACAGTAATATGGCTGTTACGGTACACTCATGCATAGGCTGACAAAGAGCCCATGTGTCAAGGGTCAGGGTTCATGAAAGGGTTAGCATAAGGTGCAGTACTGTTTTGCAGTAAACAGGATAGGCCTACTATATGTAAACAATAGCAGGAGTGACTTGACTGCAACATATTAAGATATGAAGAATCTAGAATCTACCTTTGCTGTGAACTAAATCTTTCCCACACCATCACTACATAATCAACTATATTAGTAAATAATGATTATTGTTTTGTTATAATTATTGTGTCATTAGTGTTTACTAAGAGGTATCCACCATCCTACCTTTTCTAATCTTAGCTGTGTTCGATGAGTCTGTGTGCACTACTTACTGTCTGGCCTGCCAGAGAAAGCAGCATTGTTTCTCTGCCTTCGTGTGCTCAGGCCTGGGACATGCAGCATCCATTTATTCCTGTCCTCATTGGCTGAATGAGGGGGGGAAAAAACACAATCAATCTTGAGCTGATGGATCATGATCATGTCAGGTTTGCTCATCTTTTCCAATTATATTTTTAAATGCTGCAACTTGAAATATACACAATACTGTATGTACTACTTACAAGTTCAATGTCATTTATGTTTTTCCGTATTACACTACAATAAAGCCATGGGGTGTCTTTTGAAAATAAATAGTTTACAAAGTAGTGTTTGATGTAATTTTCTGAAAATGAGGGAGCTTTAGGCAGGGAATAGAGATGTTGGACTCACCAGTGCGCTCAGATTTCCTCTATCGGTGGCTGTATCTTTCCCTCCCTCCCTCTCCCTCTCTCTCTCTCTCTCTCTCTCTCTCATAGTAAAACAAAGCAGGGGTCTTCCTAGGTTTTTCTGGTACGAAGCCTCACGACGTCCTCCATAACATTTACAGACACCTGAAATCATACGACCGTGAGACTCCCACTTGTCACTTACTGAGGTGAGCTGTCATACTGTTCTAAAATCCTAGTTCAGGACTCAGGAGAGACACTCAAACCTACACACAGTGCACTTCAGACCTCCAGAAATTGCAGAAAGTGGAAAACGGAACCACCCCACACACAGTTAGAAGGAATAGTATCAGGTAAAGTTATTCTGTCTATAGCCGAGCACACTGTTACCTCACTGACTGTGTTAAGGATTTTTACTTGGTAGTGCCAGGTGAACGCTTACCTTCATCTCAACACCTCACCACAACGAGGTGAACTTCTTGCCGAAACCGGAGATCGCTGTTGGAGGGGGGGGAGGGAGCGAGGGAGGGAGGGAGGGAGGGAGAGGAGAGAGAGAGAGAGAGAGCGATTAGGCATATTGTAGCAAGTAGAATAAAGGTTATGTTGATGGAATAATATTAAGTTCCACACAGAGAGTAAAAACAGATCCAGCATGGCACCTTCTCCTAGTTTTCCTGCCGCCTCTGCAGGGTTTGCTGGCAGGACTTTAGAGAGGAGACTATCCCCCTCCATCCCCGGTTGACCCGCTGCTGCGCTCCCGATGCCACCGGGTCTAGGGCTGGCCTTGGAGCCTGCAGGGAGAAGGGAGAGGGGAGGAAGATGGATGATGATTAGAAACTCATTTTCAGAAAATGTACCTACAGTATGAGAAAGAATCTTAAAATATAATTAGTTGAATCCTGATAAGTGGACTTCTGATAAGTGCAAACTCTGTTTAGGTGTAGTTTTCAAATTGCAATTCAAAGACTTTCTTTTTAATCCAGGTGATGCCATACTCAAGTTTAGTGCACACTATCACAACAGTCTGAAGCCATTGCATTTATCTGGAGATGACTGCACCAGCTTTCCACATAAATCTGATACCCATTGCGCTTTACAGACTGTTTCTGACCCTGGTATCTATTTCCACAAAACAACTGTCTATGCAACTGTCAGTGAGGTGATGGGACTGCATAGACTAGAGCATGTCAACACAGACACAATTGAACCGTGACACGAAAATTTCTGAAACGATTTAGCATAGCCCCTAAGATCCTTACCAACTTTTACAGCTGCACCAACAAGAGCATGCTGACTGGTTGTATCACGGTATGGTATGGCAACTGCACCACCCTCGACCTGAAGGCCCTACAATGGGTGGTGGGGCGGCCCAGTGAGCTCCCAACCATCCAGGACGTACATGCCAGTATATCTGAAAAAGGCCCAAACAATTGCCAAAGACTCCAGCCACCCGAGACATGGACTGTTCTCCATGCTCCCGTCTAGCAGGCGGTGCCGGTGCATCAAGGCTCAGATCTACAGACTCCTTAACAGTTTCTATCCCCTGGCCATACAACTACTTCTCCTCCTCACACCTAAGCTGCTGCTAAAATGATTATTGATTTGATTTATTACTACCACTACTCTGCTGTTCATTGATGATTGATTTCCATTACCATTAGTATCAATGTATCCTACTACTGGTCACTATTACTCCTGTTTACATGTATACATTACCATTAGTATATTACCACAAGTATTTATATATTCCTGCTACCAGTCACTTTTCAGCCCTGTTTACATGTATATCCGCGTATAACGCCTACACTGACACTCTTGCACACACACACTCACACTAACACACACACACACACACATACTTACACATACAGTGCCTTCAGAAAGTATTCACATCCCTTGACTTTATCCACATTTTGTTGTGTTACAGCCTGAATTTCAAATGGATTACATGTAGTTTTTGTGTCACTGGCCTACACACAATACCTCATAATGTCAAAGTGGAATTATGTTTTTACACATTTTTACAAATTACACTGAACAAAAATATAAATGCAACATATTTCATGAGCTGGAATAAAAGATCCCAGAAATGTTCCATACGCACAGAAAGCTTATTTCTCTCAAATGTTGTGCAAAAATATGATTACATCCCTGTTAGTGACCATTTATCCTTCGCCAAAGATAATCCATCCACCTGACAGGTGTGGCGTATCAAGAAGCTGATTAAACAGCATGATCATTACACAGGTGCACCTTGTGCTGCGGACAATAAAAGGCCACTCTAAAATGTACAGTTTTGTCACACAGCACAATGCCACAGATGTCTCAAGTTTTGAGGGAGCATACAATTGGCATGCTGACTGCAGGAATGTCCACCAAAGCTGTTGCCAGAGAATGTAATGTTAACTTCTCTCCAACGTCATTTTAGAGAATTTGGCAGTACGTCCAACCGGCCTCACAACTGCAGACCACGTGTAACCATGCCAGCCCAGGACCTCCACATCCGGCTTCTTCACCTGCAGGATCTTCTGAGACCAGCCACCCGGACAGCTGATGAAACTGTGGGTTTGCACAACCAAAGAATTTCTGCACAAACTGTCAGAAACCATCTCAGGGAAGCTCATCTGCGTCCTTGTCGTCCTCACCAGGGTCTTGACCAGACTGCAGTTTGGCGTCGTAACCGACTACAGTGGGCAAATGCTCACCTTCGATGGCCACTGGCATGCTGGAGAAGTGTGCTCTTCCCGGATGAATCCCGGTTTCAACTGTACCGGGCAGATGCTGATGTCAACGTTGTGAACAGAGTGCCCCATGGTGACAGTGGGGTTATGGTGTGGGCAGGCATAAGCTACAGACAACGAACACAATTGCATTTTATCGATGACAATTTGAATGCACAGAGATACCGTGACGAGATCATGAGGCCCATTGTCGTGCCATTCATCCGCCGCCATCACCTCATGTTTCAGCGTGATAATGCATGGCCCCATGTTGCAAGGATCTGTACACAATTCCTCAAAACAGATGCATATCTTTATTCCCAGTCATGTGAAGTCCTTATATGAACTGTAACTCAGTAAAATCTTTTAAATTGTTGCATGTTGTGTTTATATTTTGTTCAAAATTAAAAGCTGAAATGTCTTGAGTCAATAAGTATTCAACCCCTTTGTTATGGCAAGCCTAAATAAGTTCAGGAGTAAACATTTGCTTAACAAGTCTCATAATAAGTTGCATGGACTCACTCTGTGTGCAATTAATAGTGTTCAACATGATATTTGAATGACTACCTCAGTACCTCATCTCTGTTGCCCACACATACAATTATCTGTAAGTCAACCACAAAGACCAGAGAGGTTTTCCAATGCCTCGCAAAGAAGGGCACCTATTGGTAGATGACAAAAAAAATAAAAAATAAAAATAGACATTGAATATCCCTTTGAGCATGGTGAATTTCTTAATTACACTTTGGATGGTATATCAATACACCCAGTCACTACAAGGATACAGCTGTCCTTTCTAACTCAGTTGCCGGAGAGGAAGGAAACCACTCAGGTGAGCATTTGCCCACTGAAGTCGGTTTACGACGCCGAACTGCAGTCAGGTCAAGACCCTGGTGAGCATGAGGCCAATGGTGACTTTAAAACAGTAACAGAGTTTATTGGCTAACCTAAATGACAGAGTGAAAAGAAGGAAGCCTGTACATAATACAAATATTCCAAAATATGCCTCCTGTTTGCAATAAAGCACTAAAGTAAAACTGCAAAAAATGTGGCAAAGAAATTAACTTTATATCCTGAATACAAAGTGTTATGTTTGGGGTTATTTTCAAGCATGGTGGTGGCTGCATCATGTTATGGGTATGCTTGTTATCGGCAAGGACTAGGGAGTTTTTTGTTGTTGATAAAAATAAATAGAAAAGAGCTAAGCACAGCAAAAATCCTAGAGGAAAACCTGGTTCAGTCTGCTTTCCAACAGACACTGGGAGACAAATTCATCTTTCAGCAGGATAATAACCTAAAACACAAGACAAAATATACACTGGAGTTGCTTACCAAGACAACATTGAATGCTTCTGAGTGGCCTAGTTACAGTTTTGACTTAAATCGGCTTGACAATCTATGGCAAGACTTGAAACTGGGGCCTCCCGAGTGGCGCAGTGGTCTAAGGCACTGCATCGCAGTGCTAGAGGCATCACTACAGACCCGGGTTTGGATCCCGGGCTGTATCACAACTGGCCGTGATCGGGAGTCCCATAGGGCGGCGCACAATTGGCCCAGGTGTACAAAGTTCTTAGAGCAGGGATCATCAACTAGATTCAGCCGCGGGCCGATTTCTTCTTGAGCGGATGGTTGGGGGGCCGGAACATAATTACAAATAATTTGTAGGCTGCAAATTAACCGCAATAAGCCTGAATAGATACAATGTTTGACTTAAAGATAATAATTTCAAACCTTGCTTTCCAACTAAGTGACCCAATGCCTTCAACCCAGCAGTTGGGTCATCCAAACAACCCAGAATGTTTTAGAGTGTAGGAGTGTACAAGTGTACTAATCACTCTCAGTGAAATGTTCAGTGGGTGGAGCAGCAGCAGTTTGGGTGCAGACAGGGATGTTTACCTATTCCTGTGAGTGGGGGTTGAGGTGTTTTTGCAGGTTGGGCTGCTCCTCCTATGACAGCTTTGGCCCCTATGGCAGTCACAGGGGGTGTGTTTGCGACAGGTGCCTGCTGGAAGAGCGAGAAAGAGACAAAGAGATGAGGAACTCAGTTTAAGGTGGCAAACTGACTGTACATCAATAATTTTGTTCTGATGCACTGAAAGATGAGCCTCTTATCATGTTGACCCCTACTGTAAAATACCATGCCAAAACTTGATGCAGAATGATGAGCATTAGCAATGCCAGAGATCATTGAGCTGAAACCAGTTTCACGCTTCCTCCCTGCAAACCAACTAGCCGTGCATCTAAGCATGCATCTAGATTTATTGGAACAGATATAACATCATTCGCTTAGCAATGTGGACGTTTGCCAAATAATCACACATTATTTGTTTTGCATTCACTTTACCCAGCGAACGGATGCAATGCATTCCATTAATTTCAATTTTCAATTAGCCTTTTTTATAAATTAATTTTAATCACTCATTGGGCCTTTCAGAGAGAACAGGCGCCATTACAGTTCAAATTAATGTGGCACAGGATGAATGTGATTGGATTTGTATGATTGCCTAACAACTGCATTTCCATTTGGAGCTTAGAACAATCTTTCAGAACCATATCTCAGTCTGCACATAATAATGAGGATCATACATAATACGGAATATTTCATTTTACGTCATCAGTATAGGCTATAGCATAGAGGTCCTATAATTCCTATAATATAGGCTTTCTATGGCCTAGAGTACAGGATTATATGGAAAACATAACAAATAGCTGAAAAACTTTAGCATGCTGTATAGTTCTGTATATTATAACCATGGTGACATATTCAGAGACATAACAAAACAAACAGGAATGGGAGGATTGGGAATGATTTACAGTGGAAGACATTTTTGGGGTTGAATCTCTCTCCTCCATCTGAGTGGAATAGACAGAGGCTGTTACACTGCCACTATCTACAGCCACAGTGCTAATCACAAGACCAGATAAGGTCTGCCAACAGGGTTTCACACACATTTAAATAAAACCTCTTCTCAGAATGATGTGCTAGGCTTTATCAGAGAGACAGAGAGAGAGAGGAGGTGGAGGGGGAGATGGAGAGAGAGTATGAGAGAGAGAGGGAGACAGATGAAAAAGAGGCAAGAAAGAGATGAGAGGGAGAGATGCCACCAAAGACCTCTAAAGCTGTCTCAACATGTGAAATAATAATCTACATACATTTACAGTGATTCTCATTATAATTCATAAACTGGATGGTAGATTTGAATAATCATGACACTTTCAATCCAGTGTCACCACACTTGTACTGTACTATGTCATAATCCTGTACCCACCGCAGTTGGTGGCAGTTGCCCCAATGGGCCTCCTGCCTGTGGCTGGCGACCGGGCTGACCAGGACCAAGCTGACCAGGCTTGGCCTGTAGACCCTGTTGGGCTTGGGCCAGGCCCAGAGGCTGCTGGCCCCCAGGGGTGGTGCCGCCAGGGGTGGTGCCCCCAGGGGTGGTGCCTGTCTGTCGTGCCGCCAAGGTCTGGGGCTGCTGCTGCAGCTGGGTGCGCTGGCCTTGATGCAGCCCATCCTGCTGGGAGGTATGACCCTGTCCCCTGGAGCCTGGGGGCCCACCGGCGGATCCCTGCCCACGGCCAGAGCTGCCCTGGCCCCTGGAGGAGGAGGGAGGGTGACCCTGGAGGTCTTGCTGCTTCCTGGAGGAAGTCCGCCCATCATGGGAGGATGAGGACTTGGAGGAGCGGCCCTGGCTGTGGTGGTGGCCCGACGGGTCCCTGGAGTAGTCCGATGAGTGATACCCCCCCTGGGAGCGGGAGTCACCCCTCTTTCCTGACGAGGACATCTGGCGGGAGTCATGGCGCATGGACGGATCTTTGGGGTGGCCCTTGGAGGAGCGCGAGGAGCGCGGTTCGTCCGAATGGCGGGACGAGGCGGAGTGTCTCCCGGAGCTGCTGCTGCCGTGGTGGCGATGGTCCCGCGAAGAGGAAGATTGGCGGGTGTGGCCGTACTCGTCCTGGGGCCACAGGTCCTCCTCTGGGGGCTCGTCATAGTCCTGGTAGGTGTGCTTGACGTGGCGGCTACGGCCGGACGAGGAGTGGCCACCACTGCCATAGTGGCGGGAGCTAGAGCGCAGGTCCCTGGGCTTCTCAAACCAGTCCGTCTCCTCCTGGCCAAGATGGTAGGCTTTGGAAACCAAGAGTAGATCACAGTCAATCTCCAAGTCTGACGGCGACAGAGGCATGCAGACTGAGGCCATGCAAAAGAAGAACGGGAAGGAGAGAACAGAAAAAGAAAGGGAAAAAACAAAACAAAAAAAACTGAAGTCGAGATTTACGCCCATGCATAATACGAAAACAAGACACACATAAAAAAAAGAAAACAAATGTAAAAATCAGAAAATAAGTTAATCACAACAAGAAAACAAAACAACTTTCACAAGACAACGGTATTGTGTGAAAAATAGTTATGCACCTCAGAATAACATGCAAGTGAAAAGAAAGAGACGAACAAAGTGAAGAAACTGGACATGGCTGCTCATGCAGACAGCACAGACAGCAGTCAGTCAGTTGGGACGAGAGCAGCCAGTATAGGCCTCGAGACACAACACCAGCACAGCATGCAACAACTCTCTCTCTCTCTTTCTCTTATCTAGCCTTATCTCTGGGTGGGTGGGGGATGTTTATTCGTGGGCAGAGACTGGCATTCAGCACCCATTTACCTTCGCTGTCCGAAACAGCGCAATGCATATCGTCTATAATGTAAAAATCATCTGGTTTGTAGACGTGTGTCCGGGGCAAGTCTCTCATGTGGTTCTGCACGTCAGGCATGGAGTGGCTGGAGCCGTGCTTGGCCATAATACTGACTACTACGGCTGTCGTACAGCTCTGGGCCCAGGGAGGAGGCCCTCACATGAACACCCATGGGGCTGAGAGGGCTCTCCTCAGACGAATACTGAGAGCGCATGGGGGGTCTGCCCCGGCTATAGCTCGCCCTGTATGACGATCGCTCCCTGTCCCCATCTCTCTCGTAGGAGCGGCTGCGGTAGCCGGCGTAGTCCCGGGATGAGATCTTGTCCATGCCGTAGCCCGTTGAGCGCGAACGGCCCGAGGTGTAGTACATGCGCTCCTCGGGATAGGAGTATCTCTTCTGCTCGTAGGCGCTCTTCCTCAGGCCATAGGCCATGTCGTCCTGCAGCTTCCTGGCCCGCGACACCACGGTGAAGTTGCCACCGCCCGACGTGTCCATGGTGTAGGAGGCCAGATCAGCCTCCATGTCGCGTGCTTCCTCAATGGGGGAGAACTTGGAGATCTTCTGCTCCACGCCTTGCTTGTGGTGCTTACTGCGCTTGGAGGACATGACGGCCGGAGCCAGGCTCTTGGAGGCGTGCTTCTGGACCCCGGTGCGCTGTGTGCCGTGTTTGGTGTAGTCATCATAGTAATAGGAGGATCCCCCACCCATGCTAGTGCTGCTGCTGCCCACTACTCGGCCATATGTGTCTGACACTCGCGGGTGGTAACTGCTCTTACCCCTGCCATGGTGGTCGTACAGGTCTTCTTCCCTGGTCAGCTCATCCTCCGGCCTGCCGTAGGAGCTCCCTCCTCTCGCCGGACCGCTCTCCACTGCGTAGCGTCCACCTTGGCCGTCGCTCCGGTGCATGTCTGCTGTGCCTCCCAGGCCCTCCTTGGTCAGCTCGCTGATGTCATCACACATGACGTAGTTCCTTGGGACATTCTGCTCCAGGCTTGCGGGGCCGTAGAGACCGTCCTGTGCGTAGGTAGAGGGGCTGTCAACCGAGTGCAGACGGTCAGATGGAGTGATGTGGCCGTAGCTGTTGGCCACTGTTGCAGTATACTGGCCGTAGGAGCTGGCTGTAGTGGTGGTATAGCCATAGGTGTTAGCTGTGGTGGTGGTATACTGGCCGTATGTACTGGCCGGGGTGGAAGTGTACTGCTGCCCGTATGTGTTGGATACTGTTGTGGTGTACTGGCCATATGTACTGGAGACTGCCGTAGAGTACGGCCCATAATTGTTGACCATGGTGGTACCACCAGTATACTGTCCGTATGGGGGTGCCCCACTGGAGGAGGAGTAAATGGTGTCTTGGGCCGTGGTGGTCACCCCTACAGTGGGGTTGCTTATGACCTCATAATTAGCGGGCATCTTGTGCTCCAGGTCAGCCAGCGATGTCTGTCTCGGTCTCTGGTGGACAGTGAGGATGTCTGCCTGGGGCTGGTAGGGAGTGATCTGCCCAGGGCCAGCTGGGTAGGACACCTGGCTGGGGTATGGAGAGGTGTGGGTGGGGTACGGAGGTTGGCCAGGCTGGGCATGCTGGAATCCCTGGTGGCTAGGCTGTTGCTGTTGCTGAGGCAGTGGGTGCACACCCTGCTCTGTCGGGTAGGGGGGATGGCTCTGGGGGAATGTGTGGGAGGAGAAGGACTGGATCTGGTAGGATGGGGGAGGATGTTGGGTCTGCAGGGGGGTGGGCTGGGGGAGAGCTGCTGCCTGGGACACTGAAGGGTAGGGGGGCTGGTTGAAGGCTGCAGTCTGGTAAGGGGTGCCGGGCTGGGGAGCTGGAGCTGGCTGGCTCTGGGTGTGATAGGACTGATAGGAGACGAAGGAGGAGGTGGGAGGAAACTGGGCGGCTGTGTTGAAGTCGCTGGTGAACTGGCTCAGTGGTGCTGTGCTGGGTCTGGTCAGCACCCCGTTGCTCTCGTAGGAAGCTACAGCGGCCGCCAGCCGCAGGTTATTCAGCTCGCTGTCTGACATGTAGTCTCGTGGGTCGCCCATGCAGCGCAGATAGGCCATATCCCTCCTCTCCCTCTCCTTCACCAGGGTCTCCTTGCGCTGATGGATGCCCAGCTCCAGGTAGCGCAGCTTGGCATCAATCTCCTTCTCCTCCTCCTCCAGCTCCTGCTGCTGCTTGCGGAGTTTGGTGGACTCCTGCTCCACGGCCTTCAGCTCGTGGGTGAGGTCCTTCAGCAGGCTGGCTTTGGCTGCCAGACCTGGCCTGGTCCCGGCCCTCAGGGAGGGCATGGAGGGCATGTACATCTGAGGGAGGGCCGGGGTGACGATAGGGAGGTGGCTTTCCTCTGGAGGGGGGCTGGGCAGGGTCCTCTTCACCTTCCTCAGGGCGCTCTGCTGCAGGGCGGCCAGCTGCAGGGAGACAGGGGACAGGGCCATGAGAGCAAGGGTTAGGGAAAGAGCTTGCACAACAGAGCACTGCACATGTGACGTAAATATGTATTGTTCCTCAAGGACGATACAAAATAAAAGGTACATTCTTAAGGTGTGATTATACATTACTCAATGTGCCTGTGCAAAAGACAAAAGCAATAAACAAATTGCTGTAAACTGAAACTTGATAAATACTGTATCAATATTTTTGCTACCTTAAATGGTATTGCTACAGTTACATAGCAGTGCAAAGCAATACAAATGTCTATAATTTAACATTTCCACTAACATTTCTCTATTGTGTTACATCCTCAGTCATGCCACAACTGTGCATGCAGCATTAAGTGATTGTGTAAAAATTAATTCATTGTTTCATTGTGGTAATTAAACTTGGATTTCTATTGAGAGTCAAATTAATCACAGCCACAGTCTCAAGAAATGTTGGGGAAGATAGCCCCAGTATCTGTCTGCAACATGACTGTTTAATTAACTATGACCATCTCATAAAGATGATCCCACAATAGCAATTCTACAATAACTCAGTAAATGTTTTACAACCATGCACCTCTCATCAGCAATTCTAGCATAATCCATGAATAAGGTATAAAATAAATTCCTCTCCACTCTTAAATCGCCTTCAAATCCTCAGTATTTATGAAATCAACCAACTTCAAGTCTGTCTGTTTATCTTCCAATTCAAAATGAATCTACTCCCTGTTTATTTTCAAATGCTATTCAAATTCAATACTCAGGTTTATCATTACTCTACAAGAACTGCCACAGATCTCCACCCCCCTTTTTCCCTGTAGAAGATTAGGTCAATTCTCCATCACCTACAGAGGTCTGTTTTATTTTAACAACTCCTTGACCACCTCAAAGACTGCATCAACTCCTTCAACAACTCCTTCAAATACAAAATATAAAGATATCTACTGGACATTCCAGCTCAACGACTCACCCAATCATTTCCTGCCTATCAGTCACTTATTTTGATTATGCATTTTACTTGAATGTATTTTTTCTCTCTCCCCACCCCAAATCATGAAGTTTTCCTTTTTCTTTGTGTAAATTTTGTTTGTTTTTGTTTTATAAATATTTGAAAGAGGGAGGTACCTCTCCTGCACATGCTCTTTCCAGTTGCCTTTTAAACTCTTATCATGTTGTTTCGTATTTTCTTGTGTGCAAATAAATAAATAACATATTTTTTAAATCACAAAGAAAGCGTTATTCACAAATACGACGGATGGTCACTTAAATTTCTGAATAGTTTCAGCATTTTCTTCCCTTCATAGAAATCTGTATATAGGGGGGACAAACGTCAATCTGAAATGTGCCACTTAAGCAAAAGTAACAAACAGCTGTAGTTAGTATTAGATGAATGGATATATTGTTGTCAGCATTTGCCTATGATGATGTTCAAAATTGCTTGCCAAAAACATAAATAACTTCAGTGTAGAGATAATTTGACAATGTTCACTTAAGCTGTGCATTAGTAATATGTTGGAGGACATATGTCTATGGTGCTTTTTGAAACTAGAGATCTATCACAGTGTCAATGTGTGTACATTGTGTTGTGTGTTTTATGTAGAGTATACACTCTTAAAAGTAAAGGAGCCAGGAAGAACCTTTTGGGGTTCTAAAAACTGCCATACGGGGAACTTTTCCAGTTGAAAAAGGTTCCTTGAGGAACCCCTATGAAAAGGGTATTCGAGGAACCCCTGTCTAAAGGATCAAACCGGAACCTTTTTGTGGTGAGAGGGGTTCAATTTTGAGCATTTTTAACAATATATTGTAGAGGTGGCAGACCATCAGAGGATTGGAGGCGTGGCTTTCACATAGTTATTTTGGGTCACCCGTTAGAGTAAATGTAATTCCTGTTCATCATGTTAAGTTTGTACACTGCAAATTAAAATGTTTCTTGAATATTTCTGCATATTACATATTCTAATATAATATTAACATGATTAAATATAGTAATAAAGTGGTAACTATTCCAACTTTGGGATTTGCATAGGCTCTGGAGGAACTCATAAACCTCTGTAAGCCTCATTGAAGCTACAAAACTGTTAGTGTTCAACCTTA